CAAAGGTTGCTGCTCCTCTTCATCGTCCTCTGCCGTTTATCGCAGGCGCGATTGCGGCTCATTCTTGGCCCTGATGCGTTTAATCGCCCGCCAGGCTGTTGCCGGTATTCTTATTGCCCCCTGCCGCGTTAATCGCCGAGGCGGTGCCGCCACTCATTCTTATCGCCCCTCGGCGCGTTGTATCGCCGCCGACGGTGCCCGCCTCATTTCTTATCCTTTGCCTCCGTTTATCGCCCGTGAGGCGATTGCATTCTCATTCTTGTCGCCCACCTACCGCCGTTTATCTGCGTAACACGATTGCCGCCACTCATTCTTATTGCCCCTGCCGTTAATCGCCCGTAGGCTATTGCCGTACTCATTCTTGTCGCCCACCTACCGCGTTTATCGCCAGTAACACGATTGCCGCCGCTCATTCTTATTGCCCCCTGCCAATGTTAATCGCCCGTAAAGGTATTGCCTTACTCATTCTTATCGCCCTTCCCGCCGTTTGTCGCCCCATCGCGATAGCTCCTCATTCTTATCGCCCTCCCGCAGTTAATCTCCCCTAGGCAATTGCCGCCACTCATTCTTATCGCCCCTGCCGCCGTTAACGCGCCGTGAAGGCGATGCGCCACTCATTCTTATCGCCCACCTGCCGCCGTTAATCGCCGTAACGCGATTGCGTCCTCCTCATTCGACGTCCCCTCCCGTTAATCGCCCGTAAAGGCAATTCCGTATCATTCTTATTGCCCCCTTGCGCGGTTAATCACCCGTAAGCGTTGCGGCCACTAATTCTATTGCCCCCTTGCCGCGTTGTCGCCCGGGTAAGGCGATTGCGCCACTCATTCTTATTGCCCCACTGCGCCCTTAATCGCCTGTAAGGCGGTGGCGCCACTCATTCTTATCTCCCCCTGCGGCCGTTAATCGCGGGTAAGGCGTTGCCGCACTCATTCTGATTGCCGCCCTGCACCGCCGTGTCGCGCGGTAAGCGGTACCGCCACTCATTCTTATAGCCTTCCTCCGCCGTTAATCGACCGTAAGGCGATTACCACCACTCATTCTTATCGCCTCTGCGCCGTTAATCGCCCGTAAAGGGATTGCCGCCACTCATTCTTATTGCCCCTGCCGCCCTTAATCGCCTGTAAGCGGTGGCGCCACTCATTCTTATCTCCCCTGCCGCCGTTAATCGCGGGTAAAGCGATTACCGCCACTCATTCATATTGCCGCCCTGCGCCATTAATCGCGGGTAAAGCGTTGCCCGCCACTCATTCTTATCGCCTTCCTGCCGCGTTAATCGACCGTGAAGGCGATTACCACCACTCATTCTTATCGCCCCCTGCCTCCGTTAATCGCCCGTAAAGGCGATTACCGCCACTCATTCTTATCATCCCCTGCCGCCGTTAATCGCCCGTTAGGCTATTGCACGCCACTCATTCTCATTGCCCCCTGCTGCCGTTAATCGCCTGTAAGGCGTTGCCGCCACTCATTCCTATTGCCCCTGCACTTTAATCGCCAGTAAGGCGATTGCCACCACTCATTCTTATTGCCCCCCTGCCGCCGTTAATCACCCGTGGGCGACTGCCACCACTCATTCTTGTGCCCCCCTGCGGTTAATCGCCCGTAAGGCGATTGCCGCCACTCATTCCTGTTGCCCCTTGCCGCCGTTAATCGCCCGTAGGCGATTGCAGCCCTCATTCTTAATGCCTGCGCCGCCGCTTAATAAGCCGTAAAGGCGATTGCAGCACTCATTCTTATCTCCCCTGCCGCCGTTAATCGCGGGTAAAGGCCGCCACTCATTCTTATTGCCCCCTGCGTGCGTTAATCGTGAAGCGTTGCCGCCTCATTCTTATTGCTCCCCCTGCGCGTTAATGCTCCTGAAGGCGATTGCCGCCACTCATTCTTATTGCCCCCCTGCCGCCGTTTCGCGTAAGGCGTTGCCTCCACTCATTCTTATCGCCCCTGCCGCGTTAATCGCCCGTAGGCGATTGCCACCACTCATTCTTATTGCACTCTCCTGCGCCGTCATCGCCCATAACGCGATTGCCGGCACTCGATATTATCGCCCCCCTACCCGTTAGTGCCTGTAAGGCGATTGCCGCCCTCATTCTTTGCCCCCTGCCGCCGTTAATGGGTAGGCTATTGCTGCCCTCATTCTTATCGCCCCTGCGCGCGTTAATCGCCCGTGGGCGATTGCCGCCACTCATTCTTATCGCCCTCCTGCCGTCGATGGCTACCGTCGCCGCGTGCCTTCACTCATTCTTATCGCCCCCTACCGTTAATCGCCCTACGGCGTTGCCGCCAATCATTCTTTTGCCCCCTGCCGTTAATCGCCTTAGGTGATTCCCGCCACTCATTCCTATTGCCCCCCTGCGCCTTTAATCGCCCGTAAGGCGATTGCTGCCCTCATTCTTATTGCTCCCTGCCGCTGTTAACGCCGGTAAGGCATTGCCACCATTATTCTTGCCCCCCTGCCGCCGTTATTCGACCGTAAAGCATTGCGCCACTCATTCTTATCGCCCCCTGCCGCCGTTAATCTCATAAAAGGTACGCCCACTCATTCTAATCGTCCTCCTGCCGCCGTTTATCGCCCGAAACGCGATGCCGAAATTCATTCTTATTGCCCCCCTCCTGCTGGTTAATCGCCCGTAAGGCTATTGCCGACACTCATTCTTATCGCCCCCTGCCGCCGTTTATCTCCCGTAACGCGATTGCTGCCACTCTTATCGCTGCGCGCCTTTAATCCACCGTAAAATGTGCCGCCTCTCATTCTTATTGCCCCCTGCGCGTTAATCGCCCAAAAGCGTTGCCGCCACTCATTCTTAATGTCACCCTGCCGCCGTTAATCGCCCGTAAAGCGTTGCAGCCACTCATTCTTATCACTCCCCTGCCGCCGTTAATCGGCCGTAAGCGATTGCAGTCACTCATTCTTATCGCTCCCCTGCGCGTTAATCGCCCGTGAGCGTTGCGCCACTCCATTCTTATCGCCCTCTGCCGCCGTTAATCGCCCGCCAAGGCAATTGCCGCCACTCATTCTTATCGCCCCCTGCCGTTTATCGCCCGTAAAGGCGATGCCGCCACTCATTCTTGTGCCCCCTGCGCGTTAATCGCCCGTAAGGCTATTGCCGACACTCATTCTTGTCGCCCACCTACCGCGTTTATCGCCCGTAACACGATTGCGCCACTCATTCTTAGCCCCTGCCAATGTTGTCGCCAGTAAGGTTATTGCGACACTCATTCTTATCGCCCCCTGCGCGTTCATTGCCCGTAACGATTGCTGCCACTCTTTCTTATCGCCTCCCTGCAATCGCCCGTAAGGCTATTGCCGCCACTCATGCCCCTGCGCCGTTAATCGCCCGAAGCGATTGCCGCCACTCATTCTTATTGTCACCCTGCGCGCTGTTAATTCGCCGTAAGGCGATTGCCTCCGTCATTCTTATTGCCTCCCCTGCCGTATATCTCCCGTAAGGCGATTGTTGCCACTCATTCTTATCGCTATCCTGCCACCTTTAATCGCCAGTAAGGCAATTGCTGCCACTCATTCTTATCGCCTCCTGCCACCGATATATCGCCAAGGCGATTGCTGCGACTCATTCTTATCGGCCCCTGCCGCCGTTAATAGCCTGTAAGGCGATTGCTTCCCCACTCATTCTTATCGCCTCCTGCCGCCGTTAATCTCCCCGCAAGGCAATTGCCGCCACTCATTCTTATCGCCCTCCTTTCGCTGTTTATCGCCCGTAACGCGATTGCTGCCACTCTTTCTTATCGCCTCCTTCGCCGTTAATTGCCCGGTAATGCGATTACCGTCACTCATTCTTAGCCCCCTGCCGCGTTAATCGCCCGTAAGGCTATTGCCGCCAGTCATTCTTATTGCACCCTGCATATTAACCGTGAGCGGTGGCCACTCATTCTTATTGCCCCCTGCGCCGTTAATCGCCCGTAAGGCTGTTCGCCACTCATCCTTATTGCCCCCTGCGCCGTTAATCGTCGTGGCGGCGTTGCCGCCACTCATTCTGCGGGCCTTCGCCGTTAATCGCCTGTAAAGCGATTGCCGCCACTCATTCTTATTGCCCCCCTGCCGCCCTTAATCGCCCGTAAGGCGATTGCCACATTCTTGTCCCCTGCGCCGTTAATCGTCCGTAAGGGCGATTGCCGCCACTCATTCTTATGCCCCCCTGCGCCGTTAATCGCCCGTAAGGCGATTGCTGTCATTCATTCTTATGGCCCCTGCCGCCGTTAATCGCCCGTAAGGCGATTGATGCCACTCATTCACATCGCCCCCTGCCGCCGTTAATCGCCCATAAGGCGATTGCTGCCACTCATTCTTATCGCCCCCCTGCCGCCGTTTATCGCCCGTAAGGCGATTGCTGCCACTCATTCTTATCGCCTCCCTGCCGCCGTTAATCGCCCGTAAGGCAATTGCCGAGACTCATTCTTATTGCCCCCCCTGCCGCCGTTAATCGCCCGTAAGGCGATTGCTGCCACTCATTCTTATCGCCCCCTGCCGCCGTTAATCGCCTGTAAGGCGATTGCTGCCACTCATTCTTATCGCCTCCCTGCCGTCGCATATCGCCCGTTGCATATATGTATTTATATTGTAGGGAAAATTCAGAGTTAGTTTCTGATGTTTTAGCAGAGGTCTCAGGGACTAGACCCGCGACCCCGCCTAGTTTTTCTCTCCGGTTTAATTTTACGTTTAAACCTGAACATATGTTTTTTATTTATTTATCTATTTTTTTTATGGATGAAACAATTAAATGGCCTGGAGCAAGTCTTCATCACGTACTTCAGCTATAACTGACCAAAACACTGTACTATGTAGATACACTTGCGCAGTTCAGGATTAAATGTGCAGTTTTGACCTGCAAAGTTCTAACGAAGTGATAAACTAAGCGTTTGTAGTAGGGCCTTACCATGTCGTGTTTTTAGGATTAAAAACTGAGAAAACTTTAGTTATTTTTCGTTGTTTATAAACTCTTGTAATCGTACTTAAATGTATCCATGGATTGAGGAAGAAGCCAAAAGGTATTTCTCTTTTTATTGTTAATACCTATATTCAGAACACGTAACTTGTTTTTATAACGAATTAACGTGATTCAATGGTTAAGGCCTTTAAACACATAACACAAGGTTAGTTTCTATACTAAACAATAATGCATAAAATTTGATACAAATACCATAAGCATTAAAGCATTATGTATTTCTGTGCTGCATTAACTATTTTCCTCGTACTCTATAAATATAGGCCTAGAGTATAGACAATAATGATAAGACAAACTACAGTAGTTTATGCTTGGATTAACATTTTTAAACATTATAGTGCTGATGTAACAATAATCATATCTGCGTTATAATTATGCGTGCCTGACTTTAGAGTTTAATACGCTAACTTAAAACTATTCATGAAACATGGGATGTTGAGTTTAAACTCCTGACTGATAATGGTGCAGCATTTGTATACAAATATGTTTGCCTGTGGCTTGATCATCACTTAAGAGACAATTTTATGTTCTCTTCAGGCGTGTCAAAATATTCACATAAGAAAAGAAATGGGAAATACATAACATTTAGCAAATCAAAAGTAAAACTAATGTTCTAGGAAAGGTTGTCGTTATATTCACTTTATTACCATTACCTTAAGACCTACACAGTATATAAAACAAATGTCACTAATAACAGATCTCGAGGAGCATATTGTATCAATGTAACTTTTTCTAACTCAAATTTCATAAGTTGCAACCTGAATTGTTTTGTCTTCGTTTTAAGAACCTCAAAGTAATATGCTAGTAGAAAATCAGTTTCCTTCCTCTACGTGATGTAAAGATATAGGTATAAAAAAAATGAGACAACCATACTGGGTAACACTTCTATTTCGTAGCAATTCCTTTCAGATTTGGACGCTCGACATCGAAGATGATGTTAGGTACTGGAGCGTAGTACTTCTCGGCCTCAACGGAGGAGAAACCAGCTTTCTTAATGTTGGGTAACATGTCGCGGTTGAGGCAGCAGCCGTCGTAGATGAAAGGCCACACATACAGGTAAGTTAATACATCCTGCATCATCTTCCTCAGACCATGCTTTTCTGGGTCAAACTCCGCAATATGTTCCATGAAGTAGAATTTGCCGCCCTGCAAAATGTACACCATGTATTTTCTAGGAATAGGAAAATGTGGCCCTTTTCTGGATTTTTTTGTGTATTTGTGTGTGCGTGTGTAATAACTAACTGCTAAGCTGTCAACAATTGTATATAAAGCTTGAATTTGGGTTCAGATTGCTTACTTGTAATATCATCGCCTACTTTCCGCCCAAGATTATAATTACCACTTGAGGTAAAATACTTAAAGAAATCATAATTATATGGCGCACCAATTTCAGTTGGACGAAATAAAAACGAAATAGGATAATTATATTTATATTAAAAAAACTCAGAGTAAAATAGAGAACATGAGCCTAGGACGTGTAAGTTCCAGTTATAAGCTTGTCACCCAGAAACTATCAAATTAAACTTCTAAATACTGTAGATGCTTTTATCACATTTGATGTTTAATATATTCACCGTTACTTTAAGCATTTCACCGCTTTATCACATAATTGCCAAAATCATAACTGTCTCACTGAAAAACGCTTTAAAATCTCTTACGCCCAAGACGTGCAGAGGGATGATGGAAACCTAAGATACAGACGAGTACATTGCAAAGCGTTTATGAATATATAAAACAAATAAACGAAGAAAGTTAACAAGAAGCAAAAAGTGGGATAGATATTGACCAAATAAACATTCTCTTGAGAACTGTTCGTAAAAATATGTTGGGGTTTGTGAGATAAGACTGATAAAATTCATACAAAAAATTTATAATAAAATTAATAATAAGTCATTAGAATAGGCCTTTAATAAAATACCAATCAAGGGGTAATAAAAATGGCTTAGTTTTGGCGGCGTTAGGATGTACTCGAGCAAAACAAAAATTTATCCAGAAAAGGCGGACATAGCACAGACTAACGCAAGCCCCCTTCCCCAATTGAAAACCCCAGCTTAGTGAATTACGAATATAGAGCTGACTTACGGGCGCCAGGACACGAAGTACCTCCTTGAGGATTGGGTCTATTTTGGGAACACTGCAGAGCACCAGCGTTATCACCACGACGTCCACACTGTTGTCTGCTACCGCCTCTATGTTCTCGGCTGGGATTACACAACACGTCATCTACTTCATGATTACACACTCATATATAAGACACTACAATGAGGTGTGATGACCAAAGGAATTGATATTGGTTAATGTGTTCACGTTTATATGATTAAATAATTGTAATGTATCATCAGTTGTAGAAAAAACAGATAAACGAAATGAGATTTTTTTTTCGTACAATAAATGGTGAAAGACGCACATTGTTATAACAATGTTAAAATATGCACGAACATGCACAGCCTTACCTGAAGTCGTCAGCATCTCTCCAGAATAAATGTTGGGGAACTGCTTCCTATTCTCCTCCCAATAAGACTTGAAATGCAGGTTTCGGTCCACTCCCACCAAGTGCGTGCCCTCGGGATAGTGAGCAAAGTTGACACCTGTTAGGTACATCAATAGGCTGACATAACTCTGAGGTATAGAGGCTTCCACCAAGAAATAATGTGGATCAGAGGTCGAGATCATTAATTTGGTATTGAATTATCAGTCTTATGTCTAAAGAACCCTGCAAAACTGTTGTAGACTCCTGTAGCGTTTGCTAGAAATGGTTTATTAATCTGTAATAGAGGCACTATGACTTCTAATTATTGCCCATACCAGTTCCGACGCCGATTTCAAGAATCCTGATCTCCTTCTTTTTGCGGAGCTCCGGGTCGTGGGAGACGACGGAGGAAAGGCTGGCGAAATGGTCCTTCTTCACCTCCTCAAACTGGACAAACTCGTACTTCGTATACAGGTACATCATATACGCGAACCACCTGCGGAAATAAGGATGTGTAGGTGGTGCCCCGATAATTTAACACGACGTGAATGTTTCTTATATAAATGTGGACTACTATTCTTGTGATGAAATTAAGAGGTTGAATATTGCTTGTGAAGTGATCACGCATAGCATTATAAGCCCTGGAGATAAAGACCATAGAACATAATTTGTAAAACATTTTAGTCCTTACACTTTACGGGCCTGATTTGTGAGTTTATTTTAAAATAATCCAACGAAAACAATAACTCGTAAATAGGCATCGCAATGTCAACACACATCCAATTATTCTCAAGAGTACAGGATATATCTTTGCAAATTAAATAGGTCATATGGATTGAAATTGCATTTCACACAATTCTTATATTGAGTATACACTGAAATGATTGAAAATTTATTACCAGAGGAGATTACAAGGAATATATATATATATATATATATATATATATATATATATATATATATATATATATATATATATATATATATATTTCATTAGCCCAATAAAGCACGCGGACTTCTACATACAATCCTGGACCACCAGGATACTAAAGGCAGTCCTAGACTCTGTTATATTTCACAGAAAGCCTGTTCAATGAGCTTATGGCGCAGTGAACCTCTAATGGGGACTACCCGTATCAAGTAGGTGGTCAGAGTAACGTTTTACCAAATCCGGCTTCGAAACACGAGGATCCATATATATTTCATTAGCCCAATAAAGCACGCGGATTTCTACATACAATCAACACCTCAACCCGCCATGATTCAAACCCGCGGCCCACGAGCCCATGACTGTGACCGGGGAATGCTACCTCTGGACCACCAGGATACTAAAAGCGGCTCATCCGCTAGGCAACAGTAGGACGCCACCCTCCAGGAGGCTCCACATTGTTTCACTGTTCAGTCCCCAAAACTTCTTCTTCCATCAATAGTTCATTAACGGTGTATGTAAGTTCCACCATGTTATTCACTACAACGTCACAGCAAAGTATATTTTTTTAGCATTAAACTGTTATTATTTTATTGTCTAATCATCACTACATATAACACCACCCATCATCACTACATCATCCATCATCACTACATATAACACCATCCATCATCACTAAATATAACAATATCCATCATCACTACATTTATCATCCATCATCACTACATATAACACCATCCATCATCACTACATATAACATCATCCATCATCACCACATATAACATCATCCTTCATCACTACATATAACACTATCCATCATCAATACATATAGCACCATACATCGTCACTTCATATAACACCACCCACCATCACTACATATAACAATATCCATCATCACTACATGTATCATCCATCATCACTAAATATAACAATATCCATCATCACTACATTTATCATCCATCATCACTACATATAACACCATCCATCATCACTACATATAACATCATCCATCATCACCACATATAACATCATCCTTCATCACTACATATAACACTATCCATCATCAATACATATAGCACCATACATCGTCACTTCATATAACACCACCCACCATCACTACATATAACAATATCCATCATCACTACATGTATCATCCATCATCACTACATATAACACCATCCATCATCACTACATATAACACCATCCATCATCACTACGGATCGGTAAAGTAGTTTCCGAGATTCTCGTGCGGACACACACACAAACAGACAGACTCTTTGCTTTATGTAGATAGTCTAATCATCACTACATATAACACCACCCATCATCACTACATATAACACCATCCATCATCACTATATATAACACCATCCATCATCACTACATATAATATCATCCATCATCACTATATATAACACCATCCATCATCACTATATATAACACCATCCATCATCACTACATATAACACTACCCATCATCACTACATATAACAACATCCATCATCACTACATATAACATCATCCATCATCACTACTTATAACACCATCTATCATCACTACATATAACACCATCCATCATCCCTACATATAACACTACCCATCATCACTACATATAACACCATCCATCATCACTACATATAACATCATCCATCATCACTACATATAACACCATCTATCATCACTACAGATCGGCAAAGTAGTTTACGATATTCCCGTGCGGACACACAAACAAACAAACAGGCAGACTTCTTTGTTTTATATAGATAGATCATCACTAAATATAACACCACCCATTATCACTACATATAACATCATCCATCATCACTACATATAGCACCACCCATCATCACTACATATAACATCATCCAATATCACTACATATAACAACATCCATCAACACTACATATAACATCATCATCCATCATCACTGCATATAACACCATCCATCATTACTACATATAACACCATCCATCGTCACTACAGATCGGTAAAGTAGTTTCCGAGATTCTCGTGCGGACACACAAACACACAAACACACAGACACATGGTTTACACAAAGGAAACAAACCGACCTAATAAGCACGTAAAAAGAAGATGAATCTTTTACATGCTGAGACATAATACTCCAAATTCTGGGATTTTAGCTCCTAGATGGTTAATACAAAGTTATTCTTTGGTTACTCAGGTTGCAGTCTATCAGCATGACACGTCGAATAAGGGTGATTAACTCACATCAATATCTCCATATTATAAGTCATTGTGAGTACTGCGAGACCACGGTTGGTTGGTGATAAGGAGAGAAGAGAGCATTAGCTCTGAGGGTGCAATAAGGGTACACACAATACACGCTAAAGTTCAGAAGTGGGAAATATAGGAGGAGGTTGACAGCAGGTAGGCTATCCACCTTGCGAAGATGAGGTTTTGTCTTCCGCCAACAGTGCTGCATTAGAGGACTCTTGCGGCTAGGGAAGGCTGGTCTCAGCTAAGCTAAGCTAAGTTGTTCTATTTGATGTTTGCTTGGGGCGTACTAAATAAATTATATAATAAATAAGAATAATGGTGAGTTAGCAGAGAAGTTGTGGTTCGGCAGAACGATTTTTTTTTATTAAATAATTCCTTAATCATTGTATAGTGGAAGATTATGAGCTAATGTTGAAGTATTTCCCCGAAGTATGAGGTCAGAGACTTGACAACACTTTTAGTCAAGTTAGCACACCTGTGCCAGTATCTGCAGATGTTCCGAGTTTGGGTTGTTGCGAAAACCACCACATATTTCCTCTTAAAAATAAAAGGAAATTTTAAAATTCAAACCCGCATAGGGATGTATTCACTAGTACGAGTATACAGCATTACAGAGCCAAGGTATAATTTATCGGAAAAAATTAAGAAAAAAAATACTTATTATCGCCAAATCAAAACAAATCAGTTTAGTTGTAGCCGAATTACCTTTGAATTTTGGAAATATCTGGAATCAATTTGTAAGCCAAGTATGTGGTTACATTATAGCCGGTGAACTATGCTTTTCATTATGAATAGTAGCAATGCTGGAGCAGATGGCTAACGCCAGAAGCAGTTATTCGATGTCGTTCATTTTCCACATGTTTTATGGAGGGTAGTAAGTAATAAAATCGACACGACAACTTTTAATTTTAATGACAGTAATAGTATTTTTATTTTATTTTTGTTTTTAGTTTATCAATCTACGATTATAACTGATCATATAAACACTAATATGATGTCTGTACGTGTTTTGCATGGGAAGAAATTAATAAGTTACCGTAAATCTGTCGTACTCCATAAAATACCCCCAAAATACTTAACCTAACATTACCGTTTTTGGCGCTTACCTGCTATTATGATGGATACAGCTAAGCGATCTGGTACGCTTATGGTTACAGACAAAAGAATTTGTTTTTGTTTTTAAAGTATACAATTTCCACACTTAGGACACAGTCTCGATGTTCGTAGGACACAGTGATCTTGTAATATTTGGATTTCTTGATCTTTTAATATTTGGATTGCTTCATTGTCGTTCTCATAAACTCGCTGAATAACAGGTAGACAAGAGAGAGAACACTTAAGACCATTACGACCCTTCCAAATTCTGCGACATGGTCGCAGAGGAGCAGGAGAGGACGAGAGAAGTGACACTGGCAACATACATGGTGGGTACAGAAATTTACTCCTAGAAATTTGTGAGATACTCCATTAATATTCATTTGCACCGGAAATGATATTTAGTAGTATGTTTGGTTTTTTATAGTCTTTGTGTCTGTAATATTGAAAATTGGAAACCTGCGGACAGCCAATGTATAAATATGAACCAAAACGTGAAACCTGTTGTCAAAAACGAAAAATATTGCAGACAAGAAACACAAACACAAAGAGAATGTGGTATTGGTAGATAAGAAAATTGTTGGTCATCTAGCACAACGTCTATGTACACTTGCTACGAGCACAGGGGCCCAAGCGGCTAACGAGCTTATCAGTGGCGAAGAGGATAAAGTAAAAGTATTAAGGAACACATTATAAGCTACTCTCGACACCTTGATTACAAGTTACTCATGTCACAACTTTAACATAATCTTACTTGGGCTGTGTTCCGAGTACAAGTCTGTGGATAACCCACAGAACTGCCACGATACTGATGATGGTGAAGAGATTATGATAGCACCATGGCATTAATGTCAAGTCACCTTCGTCGGAGCCATCTTGGTCAGCGTTTTCCTCCACCAGATTTATGTGGTAAGCGTTCTCCCCAGACATGTTCGTTTGCCTGGTGTTCTGATCGGACAGTTTGACCCCTCTTTGCGTCGAACTGTGGAGACAGTGGAGTGTGGACGGTGTAATGTGATGCTGTGCTTTCGTTCTCTGTCACCGAGTGGGACTGAATTATCAAAGGCAAGGAATATTGTGAGAACTGAGGAGCTATCTTTAGAACCCCCGACACTCGCGCCATCTATTGGCGTTCTCGAGAGAAATTGGTATCATTTTAACGGTAACTCAAGCATTTCTCGCTTAGTGTACTTCAATGAGGGTTAAAGAATGATTGGATGGCAAAAGTAAAGGCCGTTTTAATAAAGTGCTTACGGAACAGATGGCAGCACCACCGTTATCTAATATGGCATATCCCTGAGAAAACTTTTAATGTTAAATATAGCAATTATATTTTATTTTTAGTAAACCTGAACTCAAGATATGTTATCCATGAAAAATGTGTTTGTGTGGTGAAATAATTGAATGTATAAATATTTCGATATATGATCCCGTCAGCATTAAACCTTCCCAAGGAGCAACAGAGGTAAGTGTAATGGGGAAAATAAACGGTATTATTGCGCTTTGAACCACATTACAGTATTTTTATCTTATGCATCATTCATATGAGGTAAGGTTAGGGCCTAACCCCACCTACCATTAGGACAAGGTTAGGTTTAGTTTAGTTTAGTAAATTAAAGGCTAACTTCTATGGAACATAACAGTTAGCCTGTTTGGGGAGGCATCCCCAGTGAGTTAGCTAAAATAGAAGGGTGTAGGATCACGATTTATGTCAAAAATGGGTATTATTAGAGACTTTGTCTCTAATCACAGACCTTTTTGTGTGTTCTTTCATATTCTTGGCCCAAAATAGGGAGAATGGTATTATTGCAGTTTTTCACTTCATATAATCGAATATAATAGTAATTATTTGATGAAAGACGTGTATTGATGTGAAGTGTAATGAACACCACGATGAAGACCAGCTCTTTTTGTACTGTGATTGGATGCAATATGTTTTTATAAGAAATAAATTAGTTATGTCATGATTAATGTTTCACCCTTCTTCCCACTCTCGATTTGGTCAATGAAAAACCCAACCCAATGCCTAGCTTACTCTGCCCGCTACCTAACGAGCTACATACTGTCCAGGGGGGTCTGGTGGCAGCAACTTTAAGATTAAGAGTAGAGTTAAGTTATCCCCTTAGAATTAGTGACCCCAGAATCGGGCAGTATACCGGATTGCCAATTCCTGGGGAAATTAATTAGGCTATATCATTCACTCAAAACTGTAGCCCGGGGCGTCTTGGGCGTCAACATAGAACAAAGGCCTAGGCTAGTGTTTTCTTGGTGTGGGTATATCCACTTTTACTTTACTTTCTCTTACTTTTATCCTCTTCACCACTGATCGGCTCGTTATTGGGCGATCGGTCACGTCTCTGATTACTTTTCCTTTTCTTTTATCATCTTCACCAAAAGATCGGCTCGTTAGCCGCTAGGGCGATCGATCACGTCTCTGTTATGCACTGTTGGCCAGTACTGGGCATGCACCGGCTCCTGAATGTACCTGGACCAGCTCCAGTGTTGGTCAAGTCTTGTCTTGAAAGAGCTCACACTCGGTGCCGTCACAACACTCTCTGGTAGATTGTTCCAAGAGTTTACAACTCTCACTCCGAAAAAGTTTGCTCTCACGGTTTTCTGGACTTGCGGCTTCTTCAACCTTGAACTGTGACCCCTTGTGGGGCGAGCGTCCGCCAGCCCCAAGTAAGGACACTCGACTGAGTAGTGCCCCTTTAGATACTCATACTTTACTTCATTCTGTAATTAGGGAACCTCCCCTCACACGTTGCAATCATTGAATACATTCATAAGATTCTCTAATCATTGCACTGTTCGTGGTTATCTTCACATGGAGTAACGAGGTGTATTAAGCTCACACCGAGGCGTACAAGATATTTTCTTTGAAGTATAGTTTCTGGATCACTTCCAACACTTCACATAGGTCTCATATACTTATCCGTTTTCCATGTCATTGTTCTCATATATTTTCCTCTGATACCTGAGGTAGCTATGTTTACTAATCGTTCACAGACGTAAATATGATGACCTTCAGACACTGTCTGCACACGGTTACACTTATCCCTCATAGTACACTAGTTCGTATCAATCGGACCTTCCCAATTATCATATAGATACCTTGAGTTCTCGTTAATACTTTCAGTACATACTCTTAATACTATATGCCCGTACATTGGTACAATTCGTATAAAACAACATACATCAGGTGAGATATCCCTTACAAAAGTTTCTCATTTTCTAACGTTTTCTATGACTCTACAAGCGCGGTGGATTTGAATGTTATGTAGCGTAATATGAATTGAAGAGATGTTAAGGATGACCATGATGTGCAGTACAATGGCATGCTGAAAATCAATCAATACAAGCAATGCAATCTCATGTAAATGATTTACATATTTAGATATTGTAGTGTTACTTCTCTCCCATATACATACATAAATGAATTGTTTACATGGTATATACTGTACTTGTGGAGCAACATTTCATATGGTTGTCTTTTCAGTTATCATTATTACTAATGGCTCCTTTGTGTCCATAATCATTTAAAGTACAGAAACTGAAAATCTTCGTGTCCCCTTTATTCTGACAAATTAGTTTGCTTGCACTACAAAACCATCAAAAAAATGTATGGGGGGAATATAATATAATGGAATTTAAGTTAAAAACAATAGCATATGAATATTTATTTTTATTTCAAGAAGTGTCAGACAAACACAAGCACAGCTTTTCATTAACACATGACGTGAGCATTAATTTTTTTTTCAGTTTTGGAGGAGAGCTGCGTGGTTTGAATGAATCCTGGATGAAGTGTTGGCTGCATGGAACAAAACTCCTGTTGAATTTTGAGAGTGGCTTATTAAAACACAGTTGTGCAACCTGTAACGACTTTTCACATCTACAATGAGGGAAAGGTGTCAGTAAAGAGAAATCTAATTAAACTATTGCAAGGATTGTTCTTCATTGTTATTTTATTAGGTAAATTGCATTTTCAACCACACACCTTTTTCAACATGGACCTTCATTGCATAGTAAAAATAGAGCGTTTGGCCCCAAATCATTACGTCATTAACTTTTACTTTTACTTTTATCCTCTTCACCACTGATCGGTTCGTTAGCCGCTTGGGCGATCGGTCACGTCTCTGATTACTTTTCCTTTTCTTTTATCCTCTTCACCAAAAGATCGGCTCGTTAGCCGCTAGGGCGATCGGTCACTTCTCTGTTACGCACTGTTGGCAAGTACTGGCATGCACCGGCTCCTGAATGTACCTCAACCCGCTCCAGTGTTGGTCAAGTCTTGTCTTGAAAGAGCTCACACTCGGTGCCGTCACAACACTTTCTGGTAGAATGTTCCAAGAGTTCACAACTCTCACTCCGAAAAAGTTTGCCCTCACAGTTTTCTGGACTTGCGGCTTCTTCAATCTTGAGCTGTGACCCCTTGTGGGGCGAGCGTCGGCCAGCTTCAAATACGGACACTCGACTGAGTAATGCCCCTTGAGATGCTTATACACCTCATTTAGGTCCCCCCTTGCCCGTCTGTAGTATAAGCTAGGCAAGTTCAGGCGCTCCAATCTCTCAGGGTAGCTGAGGCGCTGAAGTGCAGGCACCAGTTTGGTGCCTGCATTTTCAACCAACTGACAGTCCCTAGCATATCTCGGGGACCAGACGGGGTGACAGTACTCCGGTTGGGGAAGCACTTCACTCTTGAAGATCGTTACGAGAGACGGACCGTCTAGATATCTGAACGACCTTCTTATAAGACCCAATAATTTATTTGCCTGATTTACCTTCTTCTCGCAATGGCCCTAGAACTTCAGCTCATTGTCAATATACACACCTAGGTCCTTCCCACATTCAATCTCAAATAGTGCAGTTTCTTCATCCTGTTGGGACATATGATGCGCCTCCTTACCGTTGGTACGCCCCAGGTGCATGCTCTTACACTTCGTGACATTGAGTCTCAGCAGCCATTTCTTCGACCATTCTTGGAGCCCACCGAGGTCTTTCTGCAGTTTTTCACAGTCAGCTCGGTTCTTGATTTCCCGAAATAACTTGGAGTCATCGGCAAACATTTGTATGGAGGAGTGTACAACGTCAGGCATGTCATTTATGGAACAAACAAACAACAGCGGGCCCAATACACTGCCCTGTGTTACCCCGCTTGTGACAGGTATGGATGATAATTTCGTGCCATTAATCACCACACACTGCTTGCGGTCATGTAGAAAATCTTCTATCCACGTTAGGACATTTCCCCGAATTTCATACCCTTCCAGTTTGATTTTCAGCCTTTCGTGGGGTACACTGTCGTAAGCCTTGGCAAAATCTAGGTAAATATTGTCGATATTACCACCCTGTTCCAGAATATGGGTCCAAATATCCAATACCTCGAGCAATTGTGTTAAGCAGGAGCGCCCCGGCGTAAAACCGTGTTGGCAATCCTTTACAAGGTTGTTTTGTAGTAGATGTTCCATTGCGGCATCTCTGATAATACTCTCAAGTACTTTACATATTATGCTGGTCAGGCTCACCTGTCTATAGTTGTTCGTGGATTGACGATCGCTTTCTTGAAGATAGGACTCACTTAAGCTACTTTCCATTCAATGGGGACCTTTTGAATAAATAAGATATTAAAAATGACAATGATGTGCGCAGTACACCAGACCCTTACTTTAGAATGTAATTTAGAATTAAGGTATGTAATTGTAACCGCCAATCAAACGGTTAGAGGGTGAATAATACTTCTCACGTCGTACACGAACATTATAATTCGATCAAACCTGTTGAATACAATTAATTTAGTATTTCAAGTAAGTCATACATAGGCACTCTTACATAAATGTTTAATCCAATATATATTTACATAACAATCATGGCTATGTAATTAGTCTAATCTTAACACAAAAACAATGACACAGTCTACCTGTGTACACAATAAGTACTAGTTAAACTTACGTGTTGAAAGTCTAGAGAGAGAAGCCAGGGTAGGTGTTGACTCTAAAATATGGGTAGCTATACTGAAATGCTCACCCTATAGCCTGGCCCCTTGGCTGAGTCAGGTGATTATAATTATACATAAACAAACTCCC